CTTCGTGGGTCTCTGTAGCAACTACTCAACTCTGCCATTGAAGCAGAAAAGCAGCCACAGACGACATGTAAAGGAATGCATGCAGCTGTGTGCCAATAAAGCTTTATTTACAAAAGTAGGCAGGATTTAGCCTGTGGCCATAGTTTGCCACCCCCCTGCTTTAGGTAGTGCCTCCTTTGAACAATAAAGAACGTGTAATCATGCTCTTGACTTTTTCTTTCTTAAACAGGTTAAAACAAATCTGCCTTCAACTCAAGTTCACAGTTATGCTTAGGAAGAGTGGAACAAAGGAATGATAACGGAGAATAGAAGAAAAACACCTAGGTTATGGGATAAAACCATAGAGTTGTGATATTCTCTCAGAAAAGCAAAGATGTTTCAAAAGGCATGAAAAACTCTCATCCTATCAGAAATCTTCCTGGTATGAATCAATGGTGGCAATAAAGAGGTCACAGTCTGGGCTGAAAATTACTTCTGAGTCTTCATACTTCTCAAGTTTGACATTAAAACAACATATACTTATGCAAATAAATTCAGAAATTGCTACTCCAGAAATGTAGATAATCTAAATTAACTAAATATTGATCTCTTGCCATTAAATTCCTTACAGAAGTGACCATTATAACAAGTAGTCTCATGGTCCTGGCCTGTGGCACATGACGAGGTTTCTCTAATTCACAGAATGCCCTTGAGAGGGTGATTCAGCATGGAAAAGTTTAGTTTCCTGGGACACTCGCCCCACCCCCCAGGTTCTAGGCTTTTATCTCACTCCACGGAATACTCCCAGCATACTAACTGAAAGCATAGTCTCCCTCAGAGAACACAAATCAAAGCAATAGATCTATTTTCAAAACAATTTCTTGTTCAAGAAAAAGATAGGAGGTTTAAAACTTAACATTAAGGCTTAAAAATGAGCTATATAACCAAACAGTGCCAACCGGATCCCCCAGTTTTTCCCTGGTATTCTTCTCAGAGGAAGCAGGTAATAACGCAGAAGCTACAGAGATGGAAAGTGGGCCACACTCAGGAGAGAGAAAACTGAATGGTGTCCATAGAATTTGCCACCATCTTGTAGACATATTCATGGACATGAACCTTAAAGACCAAAGCTGCATGGCAAAAAGCAGCTCAACAAGTTAAATTTGTATTTCCAGGAAGCTATTATGTCCCACATGGAAAGCCTATGTTGAAACAGGGTAGGATGTCCACTAGACCAGCGAAAAACCTTGATGTTTAGCAAAACCCAAAGAAAAATGGAAACTCAGTTATTTTGTTCAAGGGCGGTGTGAGTCACAACAGCATTAACTGTTTTTCAAAATGATTTACCTATTGATTATTTCTGGTAATAGAAGAAGTAGTGATATGGGCAAAATGGCAGGTCATCATTACATTTGGCTTACTAACAAACCTATATTCAAAAGTAAATACAAGCCAAATAATGGTATCACACAATAAAAGGCTACCTCAGGAAGAACTAGAGGCTGGTCGCTTCCACGAAGCTAACTTTCTGGCCAGCACTGACGGTGCCACTCAGATTAATGGCAAGTACAGAGCCTACTTCCTTACCATTGACCCTGAGAAGAATACAGGTGTGACTCCATTTTACAGACTGAAAGAATCCCACATCTCCTCATCCACAAGTAAGACAGAAGAGGTAGAAGGAAGATTCTTATAAGGGTTTGGCAGCCTAGGGTGAGAGCGGTTCACACATGTTGCTGTTACAAGGTCTTGAACTCTTTCTTGCTCCATTCAAGAAGTCCAACCAAACTCCAAAGATACCAGCACAGAAAGGGACCCCACAGGTGGCATCTCACCAACTCTGGATTTCTGGCAATGTTTCTGCATATCTCACCTCATCTTGTACGGCATCTTTGGGTTGCGGAACCTCAGATCTAGAGGAAACAGCGGTGAGTGTCAACGTCTGGCACTGCCCTTAACAGAGCATAGATGTGTGTGTAACTAGTACTTTTAATTTCAACAAAATAGCAAGCCCAAGTAAGAGATATAGCAACAAAAGTGACAATTAGGAATGGAACGAGATGGCTTAAGGAGAAAACAAAAAAGAATGAGTCCCTTCAGCTTAAGCCCAATCCAAATTTCAATCAAGTAAAAATGTAGATTGATACCAAGCAAGTGATGACACCATTGAAACAGTGCCACCACCCACCCAATTGCCCTGCCACTCTGGGAAACCGCACCCCCACTGGGTCTCGTAGCTCTTGGCTCACTCTCTTTGCACTGTGATCACAGGCACACATCTTAAAACACTTATCAGCTTTGTTCAGGAGGCCTTCCCTGGCTCCCCAGTTTGTCATTTGACCCCATTTTACATCTCTCACAAGTCTCTGTGTCTTTATTCTTTGACACTCTATTAGCCCCCGAACATGTCACAGTCATAATTAAATACTTATTTTCTTATAGATTTGTTTAAAGCCTGCCTTCTCCCAAGAGATGGTCAGGTGCAAGGTGCTTCTGTAGGGGAGGAAAAATCATTTTCCCTCTACCCTTCTAGGTTCTTGGCTGAGACTTCCCTGTAATAAAAGGCAAATTAACAGGAGAAAAGCAAACAGAAATTTAATAACATGTACACCTCCTGTATAAATGGGAGAGACCCAGGAAAACTGAGTAATTCCTAGAAATGGCCCAAGCCACCACCTTCAATACCATCTCCAGCTAAAGACAAAAGAAGAAGGGGGGGGGGCGGGGAGTGACCAGGCAAAGCACAGTAAACAAGGGTAAGGTTGTTATGCAGGTTTAAGTCCTGCCTTCTCCATTGATAAGAGTTTCTAGAGATTTGGTCATCCTGTCTTCCTGGTACAGAGAGGGAGACCCCCTTACAAATAGAGATTTCTCTTATAAATGTAAATGTCTCTTACAAAAGGATAACTTCTACTGGGTTTTCAGAGCTTTTCCTGTGTCTACAGTTTCTTAAAAATAATCAGCTAAAATAATCCTTATGGCAAAGAGGCACATTTCGGGGCCAAATTCTGCTCCCCTCTACTTACCTCCACACCTGACACCCTGTGTGGCTCATGCTGGGGGCTCAAGGTACATTTGTTGATGAATGATTTATAATAACTTTCTATGTGTTCATGTCCCACGGCTGCTCCACCATCCTAAGCAGCTATGCTACTACCATTCTGTGATTCCTGGACTCCAAGTTCAAAGGGTGTCTCCAGGGCCGGCCCCGTGGCTTGGTGGTTAAGTGCGCGCGCTCTGATGCTGGTGGTCCGGGTTCGGATCCCGGGCGCACACCGAGGCACCACTTCTCCGTCCATCCTGGGGCCGAGTCCCACATACAGCAACTAGAAGGATGTGCAGCTATGACATACAACTATCTACTGGGGCTTTGGGGGGAAAAAAAAAAAAAAAAAACCTTAAAAAAAAAAAAAAAAGGGTGTCTCCAAAAGAGAAAAATCTCATGTAGCAACAACAAAGAGGCTGGTTTATTGTTTCTTAAGTGCCCTTCCTTCTGGTCCTACTTACATGCATCATTAGCCTGCAGCAGCGAAAGCACTCTGTTAGATGCGACTTTAGAAATCCTAAGCATTACAATTGGACACTTTCATTTAAGCCAGACTACCCCTTTGTGATGTTGAAATGCCCCCTCTGTGCTTACGTCACTCTCTCCAAGAGGCCTATTCCAGCTTTCAACCTACCTTGTGGGTTTTTCATTCAGAGCCTCTGTGATCTGCAAGCTGTAATTTTCACAAGTGGAGCCCTAAAGCTCTTTAATATTTTTGTTTAACAGAATTATTCGTTTCATTTGTGCCTGTGTTTGGTAGATGAATTTTCTATAGCATCTTACAAAATAATGCTGTAACACCTTACAGCGTTAAAAGAAAAAAGTGAAAAGGCCAAAAACAACCACAAAAAAATTACCTGGGCAGTTAAAATATTTGAATTAGTATCAGAAAGCTCAAATGTAAGCAACAACTAAGTCATCTCAAGCACATCGACAGGAAGAATCAGGAAGCATACTGGACTGGGGAGGTGTGAGAGGTGCGGGGCTGCACCCCGTCTTTATTTTAAAATTTGATATTTTGTTCATTGTGAATTTTTTAATTAATTCTTTAAAATATTGCATTAAAATATTATTGATGCTTCCTCAAAAAGTTAAATAGAATTACCATATGACCCAGCAATTCCACTCCTAGGTATATACCCAAAAGAATTAAAAACAGGCATTCAAACAAATATTTGCAGATGAATGTACATAGCAGCATAATTCATAATAGCCGAAAGGTAGGAACAACCCAAATGTCCATCAACTGATGAGCAGATAAACAAATTGTGGTAGATACATACAATGGAATTTTATTCAGTCATAAAAAAGAATGAAGTACTGATACATCTTACAATAAGGACGAACCTTGAAAACATGATGCTAAGTGAAAGAAGTCAGACACAAAAGGCTACATATTGTATGATTCCACTTATATGAAATATCCACAATAGGCAAATCCATAGAAATAGAAAAGAGATGAGTGAGGAATGGGGAGTGACTGCTAATGGGTATGGGGATTTATTTTGGAGTGTTGGAAATGTTTTGGAAGTAGATAAAGGTGGTGATTGTACAACATTGTGAATGTACCTAATGTCACTGAACTGTTCACTTTAAAATGGTTAATTCTATGTTATGTCAATTTCACCTCAATTAAAAAATATATACATTATTGATCTTGATTCCTGAGTTTTTTATGCCCCCTTAAATTCTGTACCTGAGGTGAGGGCCTTACTTGCCAACCCCAGTCTTAGACCTGTTTAATTTTGCTTTTAAATAGAAATAAACAGGGTAAGAAATTGAAATAGGCTTGGGGCACACACAAATCTGTGGTTGAGTTCCAGGTAACAGAACGGCTCATTTTTGACTCAAAATTAGTTATCGCACGTGCCCTGCCACCCTTCCCTTACAGCACAGCGAAGGCTCAGTTACCCGGATCCTTGCTCACCACCTGGACATCACAATACACTGGACAAAACACGAACACACTTTCTCCCCACTGAGGTTGTTGGGAAAGTTTAATCAGCCACAGAAATTTGAGAGAGGCAAAGGCTACCTCTGGGGGAAAAGAAAAACTACCCCTTTGGTTCTGGTTCATGGAAGGACGTATTATTAGATTCCCTTCGAGGCTTTATGTCTGTATTTGGTGGAGAAGAGAGTGATTCTTTAAGAGTGTGGTGATTTCTTCAGACAGTTCCTTCATCTTGGCTTCAATTACTTCAGAGGCTTAAAAAAAACAAGAATATCAGCATTAGCAACATCAGAAGCTGAACAATGTAAGTCTTTAAAACACCTCCAGCTGATCTTTGCACCATTTTGGTCTGCTCCTAAAGGTCTCCATGTTTGAGGCAAACCTAGACACAGATACGCTTTCTCTGGTGAACATAAATATTCTGCCTCTAAATGAAATATGAAGAGAGCTCACACTGGAGCAATGAAGTCTTTACAAATTTTCCTAAAGCTACTGTCCCTGCTAAAGAGAGCAGCTCATCCACTTCAAGTCCCGCCAGAACCTTAGGGTTGTCCCAGGAAGTATCTGCCTCTGAGCTTGGATGTAATAAAGCCATCCAGGCTGCTCTCCTCTCTAATAAAGCCTAACAGAGCTGCGGGGAAAATAAGCTGCCCTCAGAAGCCAAGCCAGTCTCTGTATCTCCCTACGAAGAAATAAAATACTATTTTATTTTATACAAATCCAAGGAAATCTGCTTTTCCATGAGTGACCTAGACCAGGGGTCAGCAAAGTGTTTTTATAAATAAAGTTTTATTGGGACACAGCCATGCCCATTCCTTTATGTATTGTCTATGGCTGCTTTCCTTCTACAATGGCCGAGTGAAGTAGTTGCAACAGAGATGGCATGGCCCACAAAGCCTAAAATATTTACTCTCTGGCCCTTTACAGAAAAAGTTTGCTGACCCCTGACCTAGACTATTACAACTCTAACCATTACAGCCTCCAGGTATACATTTATCGGTGCCTCAGGTATACATTTATTCCTGGCCTCAGGTGCATTCCATTTCCCCCATGCTAACTGCTAGCCTTCTCAGGTGCATTCCAGGTTCCCAAAAGCACGAATGGCTAAGTCTATCCTGCTAACTACCCCAGTCAAATAGGAGCAGCCCGGGGGAGCAGGATCCTGCGAGACAAATCCTGTAATGCTCGCTTCCACCCCAAGACAACAGCTTGTCTGTAAAACAAACAAGAACTTAGAGTCCATCTTACCCTCTCAGGCAATCCCTGTTATTCAGAGTCATGTATTCGTTTCAGCTTATTTCCAACTCAGCTATCCGTGGCTCTGAAAAGCTGTCATCACTGGCATCACTGTATCTATCACTAGATCAAAAGAGGAACTCATTTAGCAAGGTGTAAAAAAAAACCTTGGACAATTATTCTGTTTACAATCCCCTACACTTCCCATAATTAACCCCCACTCACAGAGGAGACTAAGGAATATTCTATTATCACTTTCTAGTCACTACAGGAAGACGTTAGTCCAACCACACTCAACGGCCTCCTTCTTTTGTCAGAGGAGCTAGCTGATCACTTGCTTTCAATCTTAAATTGGAAGTAACTTATTCAGAAAATTTATAAAAGTGTTCCAATTTAGATTAAATCTATAATTTTCTGAAGATCGCTGATCATTTCTAAACCTCGAGAAAAGTCTTGAAAGCAGATTGCTCTTGCCCCTCTTACCTATTGTCTGTTTTCCACTAGAGGTGTTATGTTAATAAATCAAGTTAAAATGAAAGCCTGAGCTGATGGATTCATTTATTTTCTGTGAATCTACTCTTGTCATACTAGGGCCTAAAACTTAGTCCATCTGAGGTTGAGCATCACTCAGTCCTATTCCCGCCGATCTCAATTCGTCCTCAAGTGCAATGACATAGCAGAAAACAGTACCTGGATACTCAGAGTTTTTTCATTTTTCACCCTTCTGACGACAACTGTTTCTTTTAGCAACATGAAAGGACTAGAGAACAGAGAGAATAGCTGCATGTCCCTTGATTACGTTAGTCAAATGCTATCCTTTTTCTTCAGCAGCAGGCTGGGTCTTGCTTCTGTGTTTGAGGACCACAGCAGCTCCCTAGACAGCATCATGATAGAGGAGCTGGTCATCCAGTCAGCAAACTCCACAGGGATACTGAACTCAGTGCTCATGAGAACTAAGATGTGCGTGTTGGCTTAAGACCCAGGAAACATCCAGTAGCGCACATAAAAAACGTTACTGTACTCTCTAAATTTGCCTTGAAATCCTATCCGCTTCAGATCATATTCACTATGTTTTATAGGTCAGCAACATGAAGGTTTTCCATTCCAAAAAACACTCTCATAGTACCAAGGATTTGAGAAATAATTATGCTGTTTTCAAATTAGAAACTTTATGGGATGCTCTGACTACCTCGAGTCACATCTAGTATTCAAAATAGGAACAATTATTGACATAGATGTTGCCATGTTGGGTGCCCTTAGAAATACACCTTCTCCATGAGACAGCCTTGCAATTGTACTTTTGCTCTGAGGTGTGTGCTCAGTTTGGGGTTCTTCGTGCTCAATTCCAAATAAGGCAGCAACTTGATCAACTTCACGTGAGTTCTACTGACCTATGGAGACAACACTGCCAGGAAGTAAGCGTTTTGTGCCTGGCCCATCCCTAGCCTTGGCCAAGTTTTTGCTGACTTGTAGCAATAGAAGTCTGAATTCCACAACAGGTGAAAATCCACTTTTTTAAGGGAGGAGACGGAACAATTGGAGGAACTCTATGCTGACAAGTTAGAAAACAAAGATTTACTCTAAACACATTAAGCAAATATCAATAAATATGTAAACAAAATCATCAAAGACAACCTTACTCTCCTCCCCGACTTTTGGACAAAATACCAGAAGGGGGGGTGGCTAGAGTATGGAGAGGACATAGAAGATTAAGAATTAGCACAAAAGACATGTTAGATAAACATATAAATCAACATATCATTAAAACCAATCAAGTAGAAGATAGCTCCTAGTTAGATTTTAGTTCAGTGAAATCACTTCTGTTACAAAAGGGTTTCCAATAAAGAAAACACAGGAATAACCTAAGAATGTTAAAAAAAAAAAAAAAAACCTACCCCCAAAAGTTGGTATATCCTTATCCATGCACTCAGACTACACAAATGCAGAATCCTCCCTGGTTCTATGCAACATTTCATGTCATAGAATTAGCAAAGGAAGGGGATTTGGAAGTTGCACTCAACTCGCTATCTGAGCAGAAATGAAGGTCAAGGGTGTTCAAGTGATTCACCAGGCACACAGCTCATTCGAGGCGGGGCCAGAATCCCCATAATGCTAACCCAGCCACAAGCTCAAGTCTAAGCTGCACTGTAGTGGGCCGAAAGGGCCCACAGGGCATGTCCCCTGACACCACAAGTGAGAAGGCCCAAAGGGCCGAGGGCACTCCATCTCCTCAGGCGTCAGATTTTACATCTGCTTTCTTCCCCACCTCAGAGCCCGAGGAAGACTAGGATGGGTCCACGTCTGCCCCCTCACACTCCTGGTTGTACTATTTATTAGCCACGTACCTTTGGACTGGTCGCTTAACTCCTGAGAGTCTAGAAAAGAGAAGTAATAATACCTGCAACCTCACCAAAATGTTATGAGGGCCAAAAGAGAATGTATAAATGTGTTCTGAAAACTATATAAAAATATAAGCTGTCACTATTTATGGGGGTTACACATTCATAATGTAGTATCTCTCAAAAAGTCATAGAACTATAAAGAAGTCATGAAAACTGCCAAGTGCATGATTTTCAGAATTGTTTCCTGGACCAAGAGTAATTCCCTACCCCCATTAGCAAGTGGACTTGGGTGCGTCTGTTTCTAACCTAATGGCTCTCATTTCCTGTCTGATGGCTGTCTGCCTCAAATTCTGCCAACACATCAAAATGGCACAGGCTGAGTCTAACAAAGTGGGGCTTGGCTTGAGTTTACTCATCACCAAGGCAAATGACTGGGTTCCTAATTCTCTTTCCTGTGTGTCAGGGGGCAGCGGTAGGACAATTAAAGAAACCACAGCACTCAAGACTAGAATTATCATAATAGACATTGCTGCTAAACTTGCTGATTTTATGGCATTCATGTACCAGCAAAAAGCAACTGCTAGAATCAACTGTGGGTCATCATCTACACACAGAACAGCAGTGGTTCCTGCACATTCAATAAAATGTGGGCGCTATTCTGTGTGGCACAGGACGTAGGGGTTCATTTTTGTTTCACACAGAACAGACTTAAAGAAGTCATAAGATATACTTATCTGGGTATATCATCACTTAATTTGAGACATCTCAGCTCTATCTTAAGACTAACCTGTCTTTTTAAATAATCTTCTCTGTACACACACACACGGACACACACACACACACACACACACACGCCTTTCTCAGTGGGGAAAGTTATTAGATACTAGAGTCTTGCATGTTAAATTTTATGAAATGCCACAGAATACAGATCCATTCATGTGTGTCTTGTTACATTTGAGGAGGGGAAAATTTTAAACTTGCACTGTCCAGTATGGTAGCCATGAGCCACAGTGGTTATCTAAATTTAAATCAATTAAAATCAAATAAAACTGAGAATTCCATTCTTCATTCAAACACATTGAGCCACACTCCAAGTGCTCAATAGCCATTTGTGGCTGGTGACTGCCATATTGGACGGTGCATCTTATAGAACATTTCTACATTGCAGAAAGTTCTATTGGATAGGGCTGATTTGAAAACAAATGAATAATGATTTAAAAAAAAAACCATCACCACTATGCAATAGTCCTCCTTGTTACTCCCTAAAAAGGGTTTTTTTTTAAGGTCTGGCTATCTACAGTTAATTAAAACCACAGCAAATCTCTCTTATGCATGCATGTGCCCCCCAAAAAATGGAAGCATTCTTTAAAAACATTTTTTACTATACTATTTCTTACAAGACAAAATCAAAATCACCAGTAGCAACACATAAGAATTGCTTTCCTTACAACCCTGCTTTGACTTACAAGACTTGACAGCAACAGTCTACACGTGGTTCTTTGACAAACAAAAGGCTCGTCATAGTCAAGTCTGTTTGTCAAAGACTCTTAGCTCCTAATAAATGCCCAATATAAGAAAACATATATTCTAAGGCGCCAGAGCAAGGGTATAGTAATGCCTCATACAGCCCACCTTTTATGCTACCCCAGGGACAGCTGTTAAACCATTTCTTCTCCATTAACAGAAAGGGGTGGTTGGAATTAAAATTTTCTTTTAATGGCATACTTAGGATTACCAGCATGCACGAGTTCCTACAATACTTTATATCATAATCCATTTCATGTGAAAAAAGCATGTTTTAAAACAGGTTGCCATGCACACGGTTTTCCCCAAAGCATTGTTACCACTATACTTACTTCCTTCTCAAAGAGCCCCTGGAAGTCATAAAATATAAGAGCAATGGAAAAAAACTTAGTATGCTTTGAATGAATTTTTCATCGAATAGTAAATGGCAGAATTACAACCCCGGCAGGGCATTAAAAGCACAGTAGTCTATGTTACTATTAACTCCGTTCCTGGCCAGAACCACATCATTAGCACCGCAGTGAACTGCAATCAATAAAGAGCACCTTGTAACCAACATTTAATTCTCGAGGGAAGGTGTACTCAAATGTGGGTTATTAGCAGTACTTTACAGGAAAAAGTCTCAAGGTGTGGAGTTGGAGTCAAACAATCACAGGAGGGGAGCTGTTTTAAAAGACGTTTAGAAGAACTGTTCAAAAAGAAAGCAAAAAAGAATTGTTTTTTTCCAGTTCACTTTTGCATGAAATGTAACAAAGGGGGAAAAGTGTATTTTTCTATCAGTTTAAAGTTTACAAAGTACCATCTCAACTGTTCCTCACCCTAAAGGATGAAGATCCTGAGGTTTAGGAGTCGGGAATTGGAAAAGATTACCCAGTAAGCGGCAGACCCAGAAATTAAATCCATAGCACCTGCTCTACTCATCCACACTGTCCCCAGAGAAATAAAATACTTGCACCATATATTGCAAGAATGGCTCCTGGCAACATCAACCATGCAGCTGTTGGGGCCCAGGGCAGGCCACGCCAAAAATCCCACAAGTGCATATTGATTATTTTGAATTAAAGTTACTTGAGAAGCAAAAAGGTCATTCTGACCCTCCTGCCTCTGTCCCCCCTGGAAGCAGGAAATAAATCTCCCACATGAAAGGTACTCTCCCTCCACCCTTATCACCAGAGCTAAGGAAGTCAGGGTGGAGAAGGCTGCATAAACAAACCTTGCTAATTTACTATCTCAAACCTAAACTCTATTTAAATTCCT